AACATTAGGAAAGCAAAAAGATCACACTCAGAGCGCATATATCGAACTAAGAAATAGTAAGAAAGTACTCAGAAGTAGACAGCGAAAATCAGCAGCACAAAAGCGAAAGGAAAAATATCAAAGGATTATGGATCTGAACGAAAATGATAGTGAAGGTTTTTACCAGCTTGTTCGTAAACAAAGAGACCCTGGGAATACTTGTGCATCAGCATTTATCTTTAAGGAAGAAATAATTAACACTGATCCTGAAATAAGAGAAGCCTGGGCTGACTACTTCTATGATCTAGCCACACCATCTAAAAATCCTAACTTTGACCCAATTTTTAAAGACAATGTAGAAAAAGATGTACAAAATTTACATAAGTAATTTTTAGAAGAAAATCAACACAATATAGAACATGTATCAACCGACATGGTGGAAAAAACAATTTTATCTTTTAAAAATGGGAAGTCACCAGATGAACTAAATATATCTGCTGAACATCTTAAATATGGTGGATCATCATTAATACCCGTTTTAGCTTTTATTATAAATTTCTTGTTTAAACATGTACATATACCAGCACTTATCAAAAGTGGAATAGTATGACCAGTATTTAAGAATGGTGGAAAACCGAAAGATGATCCAAACTCATATAGAAAAATAACAATTACAAGCTCAGTGGTCAAAGTTGTGGAGAAGATACACTTATCTAGGAATGAAGATAAAATCTTAGAAAGGCAAAGTAATCTCCAAAAAGGATTCAAAAAGGGTGAAAGTCCATGTATTGCGGCACTGATCATAACGGAACTAATTATTGAGGCAAAGAAAAGGAAATCCAGCCTATATAATTTATTGTTCTGATGGATGCGAGAAAAGCCTTCGATATACTATGGCATTTAGGCCTCCTAAGAGAAATGCACAAAACAGGACTTGAGGGAAACAACTGGCTCTTTTTTGAAAATTGATACACAGAATTGACTTCGAAAGTAAAATGGAAAGGAGAACTTTCACATCAAATCATAGAACAACAAGGAGTACGCCAAGGAGGCATATGGTCCCCCTCAGCATATAAACTATTTGTCAACTCGCTATTAACAACATTTGAAGAAAATCAAATTGGAGCCACCATTGGTTCAATATACTGTGGTATACCAACGGTAGCTGATGATGTCACACTAATTACAACTGACCCATATGAACTTCAAACCATGTTGGATATACAATCGAGATTTGCAAATAGGAACCGATATGAAATCAGTGAACAAAAGTCTGTGGTGCTTACTTTTAACGATTCTTCAAAATGTAACTGGCATTTAAATGGCAAACTTATGGCTACCCCAACGTCCTCAACACATCTAGGAATTGAGAGGGACAATACATCAAATACAGGCACAAAACTAGTCGTAAAAAAACGGATCATCACAGCAAGAAGAACAGTATATGCACTGATGGGTGCTGGTCTTCATGGACTAAATGGAGTAAACCATAAAGCAGCAATTCATCTGATCCAAACATACGTTATACCACGATTATTGTACGGTCTGGATGTCATCACAATTACTACTGAAGACATAAAAAACCTCTCCACTTATTTCCGGAAACTTTTGCGACAAATTCAGCATCTGCCATACAGAACTGCCAATGCAGCTTCACATCTTTTACTTGGACGGATTACTATAGAATCAGAAATACATAAACGAATTCTCAAAACTTTTGGAAATATCATAAGAAACGAAAACTCAATCGAAAGAAAATTAGCCCTCAGACAGCTGGCAACAAAATCTCTTCAATCTGGTAGCTGGTTTACAAAAACTGTTGAAATTGCCAATATATATGATTTACCATCGCCATATGATACTATAGATAACCCACCCGGGAAACAACTTTGGAAAAATCTGGTAAATAAAACAGTCGCCGGGAATCATTGTATAAAACAAATGATCAATGAAGCTCAATCAAAATCTACTCTGGCTCGACTTAATTATGAAAATGTCAAAGAAGGGCAAATACACAATATCTGGAAAAGCTGTGGCACAAATCCATATGCCATAACGTCTGCCTCCTTAAAGGCAAAGTTAGCAACAGGGACAATATACCTGCAATATCACCGAGCTAAATTTAGCAATGGACATGTGTCGCCTATTTGCCAGCTATGTGCAGAGGGAAATGAAGATATACTTCACTTCATAGTAAAATGCTCTAAGCTACAGTATATAAGAAATAACTTTCTACATCTGATAAGCGAGGTATTGACAGAAAACTTAGGGGATCAGGATCTTATTCAGGATTTAATGACCAGTGACGAACAATTGTGTCAGTTAGTTAGCGACTGCTCAAAGTTTAGATTTTTAAATGAGAACGCACAGGAGAGAATAGAAACATTGTCGAGAGGTCTGTGTCATAAACTATTCCAGCAACGGGCAATACTAATTGAACAGTAATCCAAAAGCGTAATATATCAAGTTGAAAAAGAAGGACATACCATAAGATAGTAAAGTTTTTGTATAGAATAGAATAAAATAGAATATTTTTATTTCCCAAATTACAGGGCCCATAAAGGGCATAAAATCAGATACAATTGATTTACATAATTGGTAACAACAACAATAATAGTCACTTGAAAATATATATTTAGTATATTAGCATTGGTCAGAATCAGAGCCAAAAACCACATATATATTGTGAATAAAAGAATAAAATTACATTATATGCATTCATTCTCAAATCATTTACTTGACTTAGTGTCAATATGCATACCTGATCTCCTTAATTCAAAACAGTCACAAATATAACAGCCCAGTTTTTCCATAAGAGTTACATTTTCTTGAGTCAAGAGCCATAAAAATTTAGAAGATTTATTTAAATTTTTAAAATTAAAACAATTGTCAGATATGTATTGAAAAAAGTCTTCCCTTTGAGTATCATAAAGAGGACATTCTAACAAAAAATGAAGCTCATCTTCAACTTTACCAAGTGAGCAATTTGAACAAAGACACTCAGATCTTTCTATATATTTTTTTGAATATCTGTCTGTCTCAATTTTTAAAGAGTGAGCACTTATTCTTAATTTACAAATTGACTGTCTTTTTTTAAAATCCTGTAGTTCTAAATATTTTTCTTTTTCAAAACAATTTTTTATAGAAAAATAAGTACCAAGCTTCCCTTTTTCAGAGTTAATTGTTTGATACTTCAGTCTATTCCAAAATGTTAAATAACTTTCACATAGTTTATTTTTAACATACTAACATAAAGAACCAATTGATTGGTCAAAATTTGGTAAACCAATCTCTCTCTGAATATAATCTATACTAAAGTACCATGTATTTACATTAGAAATATGTAATTGTTTACAACATATGAATGCATCAAATAATAATCCTTCTTTCAAACCTTCCAGTCTATGACAATATTTTAACATTGATAAAATTATAGTAAAATAAATAGGAAATCTACCAAGCTCTGATATCACAGCTATGTTACTGGACTTTCTGTTTACACCAAGAATATATTTCATAAATTTGTTATGAGCTTTTTCTGAGGAATCCTGACCAAAAACTTTTTCCAATATATAATCATTATCTTTTTAGTGTATATAGTGTATTTACATTTTACCGTTTTAATATGAAAGAAGCAACTTTTATATATGAACCATGGACGATTTTTAGTATGTATCCTGAATAGTGTAAATAATGGTGATAGGGTCACATCCCCCAGAGGAGATAATTAATATCTCTTTTATAGTTTTAAAAGTTTTTATCTTTTAAACTTAATTCAGAGGATTTTAACCGTGTGAGTGATTTTACATCGATTCTAAGATTGGTGGTTCTCCTGACATAGGAGGGAGTTGCAGTACAGGTAAACAGGTAAATATAAGAATAAAGAATAGCAGTGGAAAATACAAGAATTAAGTAATAAAATACTGATTACAGAATTGAACAATGTACAGAATAAAGAAATATAATTACAGAAAATTTAATAGTAAAATCATTTGCATGAAAATTTTACAAAATAAGCATTACTTTAAAGATAAAGAAAAATGCCCTTAAATTTAAAGAAAACAGAAATTAAACACCCTCATACATGTTTTGTTTTTCTTTTGTGCTACATTTACGAAAATACATAATATCAAAGATAACATATCGACTCGCGATATTTTCCGGGTTCTTTGGTTGAACTAACTTTGAAATCGTTATAATAATCCAAATCCATACCGGTCCCTTGGTGCGTGACTAAATAAACCGACATCATATGTAGTATCTTGAAATTTGTACATATTTTTCTCTAATTCTTCGTCAAATTATCCCTTTCTGCACCCATTGTATAAAAAATTTGTATTTAATCAACGTGTGGTTCGTTTGATCTCAGTTCTTCATTGGTTAAAATCCGATTATGACGTCGAATTTTCTTGCTTTCCTCTGATTTCCTATTGTGACGGCATGAAAAAAAGGCGACCATGCCTGATGACGTCACATAGAAAGAACACATCTTTTTGCAGATCATTCGAAAAAGAAGAAATAAATTTGCCTGCGTATTGTTTGAAAATCATTAGAGAAACAGATTCCACCACTAAATCTCGTGTAATACGATATTTATCCATTCTCGACAGTTAAATTTTAAATATTTAAAACGCTCGGCGAGCCTCGCGTTTTAAATTTGAAAATTTAACTGTCTCGCGTGGATAAATATCGTATCACACTCGATGCAGTGGTAGAATCTATATTTAACCATCGATTTTTCACTTTTCCTATTTCCAGCCTATTTTACCAAATCATTACATCGTTTTCTTATACGTGGTTTATCAATGTACGGATGTATAGAGACTATTATCAGATACCTGGGACATAATAATTTAATTATTAAATGTAATTAAAGTGCACTATTCCAAGATTATACAGTTTAAACTGAGAAACTGTATTAATTTTGGTGTTTAAGTTAATAATTTGGTAAAAACTGGAAACAAGAAAAAAGAAATTAATAATATTTATGCACATAGATACCATTTATATCGCCTTTCAACCTCGAATCGGTTGCATCATTAGGGTTCACGACTTTCACTTTCATTTTCATTTTCAGGAAATGATCACATGGCATAATTGGGAATTCCCCTATAGGAGCATCGCCATAGTCCTTCTACCACCGGTAAACAAACAGTTTATTTGATTATCATCTGGTTTTCGAAATTGGTATTTTTTCTCATTTTAAACATAATAAGGATTTTTTCACAAAATATAAGAAATAATTGCATTAAATTTATCTTTCAAAATAAATATCAGTAATGAATGGAAGGCGTAACAGCAAAAAAATGAAATAGCCTTCCATTGTTTCAAGACAACATTTACTCTGACAAACCCCTACATCTGGAAACGACTGTAGTGCAGGTGAGGGGCCTAAGTCCTGCCGTCTTTGAAGGCTTGAGGACAGGATCCTGTTGTGAGCCCCCATAGTTCCTTCCCCTTATTATCATAAATCCTCGATTTTTATGCCCCACCTAGGGGCTTTATCAGATTATGTTTTTCGGTCTGTGCGTTCGTCAGTTCATCCATCTGTCAAACAGGCAATTTTTTCTATCCATGGGAAGAACCACCATCAACGTATACTCCTAAATATGGTTCTTCCCATGGATAAAAAACAAGTGCCTGTGATCTGTCCCTCCTTCCGTCTGTCCCGCTTCAGGTTAAAGTTTTAAGTCACGGTAGTTTTTGATGAAGTTGAAGTCAAATCAACTTGAAACTTAGTACACATATGTTCCCTATGATATGATCTTTCTAATTTTAATGCCAAATTTGAGTTTTGACCCTAATTTCACGGTCCGCTGAACATAGAAAATGATAGTGCAAGTGGGGCATCCGTGTACTATGGACACATTCTTGTTCAATATATATCATTTATTTGTAGGGTATGTATACCAATATACCATATTTTTACTATCAACATACCACTCGACCCTCTAAAGTTGAGTGGCACGTTGATAGTAAACATGCATATTTAGAGTAAAAATATGGTATATTGATATACAATGCTGTCCCATAAATCTGCCCACTTAAGGCTATATGATCGCATGTATTTCTGCTTAATTATATACAAATTATATCAAATTTAATATAAATCGATTCACTGACAAATCAATTTTGAGTAGTATATTTCATCCCCAAAAATATCTGAAATAAATTTTAAAATCAACACAAGTGGGTCATCCGTGTTTTTATTGGAAATGTGTTTGTCCAGTAAACCCGCCCATGCACAGTAAATATGTATGGAGGGCCAGTTTATCACATATTTATGAAGGGAAAAGGTGATCTTTTAATAGACCACTTATAAAGGGATTCCAGATAATAAAAAAAAAAAAATTTCAAGTCAGAAATGAGTTTTGTAAGCAATAATATGATTATCGTTAGGTTAGCTTCAGGAACTGTCATGACTGTATAATAAATTATTAAGACAGGGATTTTGTTACCATAAATTACATAAAACTTTTACTAAATTCATTCATAGATACAAAGATTTGATTAGTAAATTTGGCTGTACCTGTAGAAAACTGATTAAAAACGGTATTTCACATCCTAAATTTTACGGTAATATTGTACTTAAAGCGCGGAAATTACTATGTGATCTGTGTAAACTCATCGAACCTTTAAACAAACTTATTAGTAAAGGTTATCTTACCAATGTTGTAATAAGATCTTTGAATATAGTTTACATTGGCACTAATATCGATTTTGTCATCAGCAAATTGAAACATAACTAAATTTGTATTCTTTTCAAACAGGATGTATAAAGCAGGGTTTGAAATTAGCAGGGGCCCACTCGCCAATGGCCCTTAAAATTTGGTGTGGGCTACTAAAATTTCTGCTTTTCTTGTATAGAACTATATATATATATATTGGCTACCAAAATTCAAGCTGTGGGCTACCATGCCAAAATTTTAACTTCAATCCCTGTAAAGACACACCCACGTTCATTTTGATCTATAAAGAGGTTAACTCCTAACTATCCTACTGCCTGTCAATACATTTATTTTTGGCATTGCACAAGTCATGTCTTCTTTGACTGTCCATGACGTTAAAATACTAAATCCCTGGGATGTGTTTTAGTTGATTTTAGTCTCTGATACATGATTTTTTATTATTAATTGTTTTTGGCTTTTAACTAGCTGTCAGTAACTGTGAGTACTCTCAAATCGTACTTTCTTGTTTATTTGACCTGTTGATAATAATTGTAATGCTTTTTTGTTATTTAATATTATTCATGGTTATATCTGGTCTATATACCAGCTTTGATAAGTGTTTGGTATTTCTATAAATTTTCACTTCTTCGTACTATGAAAATCAAAATTATTTATTTTGTAAAAATATTTCCTTTCTCTATTTGAACAGTACATGTATACCTAACAACAAAATTATTTTCATTTACCTGTGTTTAAAGTAATTGCAAATGGCTGATATTTTTGTTCAAGCATATTGTTTTTCTTAAATTTTTTAACATTTCACAGCGGTATAACATGTTACTTTTATTGTTTTTCCTTTAGTTTATTTATTTTGTATTTACATTGTATCATAGATCAAATTTATTTGTTCAGTGTATGTTCACTGGTGTTAATATGTCTTTTGATTGAGTTAAGCCATTTCAATTGATATTTTATAGTGTGTCTTTCTATGTTGTGATGTTACACTATTGTTTCAGATAAGGGTGAAGGTTTGGTACCATTAAAACGTTTAAACCCGCTGCAATTGTTTGCACCTGTCCTAAGTCAGGAATCTGATGTTCAGTAGTAGTCGTTTGTTGATGTGGTTCATAAGTGTTTCTCATTTCTCGTTTTTTATATAGATTAAACCCTTGGTTTTCCCGCTTGAATGGTTTTACACTAGTAATTCTTGGGGCCTTTATAGCTTGCTGTTCGGTGTGAGCCAAGGCTCCGTGTTGAAGACCGTACTTTGACCTATAATGGTTTACTTTTATAAATTTTGACTTGGATGGAGAGTTGTCTCATTGGCACTCATACCACATCTTCTTATATCTATCATTAGATATTTTCGTAATAAAGGATTTTTGTCTCGCTTGACGAAGTCAAAAAGCAAGACATAGGTATGCTGTTTCCGGTGTCGGCGGCGACGGTGGCGGCGGCGTCAACAATGTATTAGTTTGTGATTAAGGTCTAGTTTATGGTGAACCACTAGTGGAAAGTCAAAGATATTTGGTATGCAGTTGTATTAGTATTGGCAAATCTCATTACCATGGAGATTATTTGGCCCCGCCCCCTCAGTTATGGTCTATTGACTTTGAAACTTTTGCTTAGTTTTCATGTATTAGTTTGTGATTAGGTCAGTTTATGGGGAACCACTAGTAGTGAGTTAATGATAATTGGTATGCAGTTGTATAAGCATTGGCATATCTCATTTCCATGGAGATTATTTGACCCCGCCCCCTCAGTCATGGTCTATTGACTTCGAAATTTTTGCTTAGTTTTCATGTATTAGTTTGTGATTAGGTCAGTTTATGGGGAACCACTAGTGGTAAGTTAATGATAATTGGTATGCAGTTGTATAAGCATTGGCAGTCTTATTTCCTTGGAGATTAGTTGGCCCCGCCCCCTCATTCATGGTCTATTGACTTTGAAACTTTTACTTAATTTTCATGTATTAGTTTATGATTAGGTCAGTTTATGGGGAACCACTAGTGGTAGGTCAATGATATTTGGTATGCAGTTGTATAAGCATTGGCACGTCTCATTACCATGGAGATTATTTGACCTCACCCCCTCAGTTATGGTTTATTGACTTTGAAATTTTGCTTAGTTTACATGTATTAGTTTGTGTTTAGGTTTGTTTAAAGGGAACTACTTATGATAAGTCAATGGTATTTGATATGCAGTTGTATTATCATTGGCACATCTAATTTCCATGGAGATTGTTTAGCCATGTACCTTCAGTCATGGTTCATTGACTTTGAATATTTGCAAAACTTACATGTTAAAGTGTTGCTATTTTAATTTCAACATTTGCATTATCAAAATTACAAAAAATCGAGACATATCTCTGTGATAACAGTTTATTCTTTAAAACTTGACATGCAGTGGTGATAAGTACAGTTCCTATGAATAAAATAAGAGACCAAATATTCATGGAATTCACAATTTTGAAAGTAAATGGGAGTGAGCAATTAACAGGACGGGCGGAATTACCGGACACTACTGTACATATGGTACAAATAAGTGATATATATTGAAAAATCGAGGATTTATGATAATAAGGGGGAGGGACTACAGGGGCTCATAACAGCAGTCTGCCCTCAAGCACCTATGGCTTTGACACCTTCCTGCCATGTGTATGAGGAATCTATCAAAATTAACAATCCTGCATAAACATTTACAAACAACACACAACATCTAAATACGGAATAAGGCCTTGGTTACCTAGGTCACGAGTGGTCTAAGTAGTTTACTACTTTATCATTAGCCTATCAACACTGAGGTAATGACTTTGAACTGAGCTCCTGACAAGGTGTTTTGAACTCTGATTTAAAATGATATTCTGATATATTAGCATTGGCACATTTCATTTCCATAAAGACTATTTGGCTTCACCCCCTCAGTTATGGTCTATTGACTTTGAATGTTTTACATAGTTTACATGCTCAAGTTTGTGATGAGATCAGTTTAAGATGAACCATTAATTATAAGTCAGCAATGTTTGGTATGTAAGTTTGTAGCAGGACCCAAATTACACCGAGTACCCAAATTGCAACTTTTCAGAAATAAATAGCAGCAGAAATCTTACAAGTTTTCTTAGAGACTAAACAATTTGTGTTTTTATGATTTGACGTTATGCACATCTTTCAACATAGCTAAATATATCTAGATATACACAAAACGGTCACAGTAAAGTATCAATAGATGAAGTATTCAGTGAAAAAATAATATCTACGGAAAAGTCGTCATACAATGTCAACTTTTAACAGTGGCGTAGCCAGGGCTGAATGGATGTGGATGCCAAACTGTGGCCGACCGTAGCGAGGTGCAAAATTTGTTTGGACCATTTTATGCAGAAAATTATATTTTTTCTCACATTTTCCCTGAATGCATGTGTACTAGCCCCAGAATCCGACACTTGTTAGATTTTTGTTTCAATTCCATAAATAAGTGC